AGGTCCCACATCGAAAGGTCTTAGGAAGGGAAAATGTAAATTTGCATCTTTGTCACCTAATTTAAACTGTGACATTTGAACTACCAGTGATAGCTTCAAGGTCAGTTACAGTGAGAATCTTCAAATTATAAATTATCCAGGTTTTTTTTAAAAAGTATATATTAAAAGAACTATTTCTCCAGTAAAATCTACTGCAGCCAAATTCCCAATGTTTACCATTAAATTCTACAAAAATTTCCAATTGCATTACCTCCCATAACTAAGGCATTTTTTTTGGTTGCTATTATATGTGATGTCATTCATAAACAATACAGAAGTAAATTGATTGCAATCATTTCAAGCAACAATCACAGATTTAGTGTAGTATACTGTCACAAGTTTTGATGAGAAAAAAGTAGACAAAGGCTATTGTTTTCCACTTTATTTAAATTTGAAAATAATGATACAGGAAATATAGACCTACCAATTATAGGGCATTGAACCTGTATGCATTGTAATGAGCCTTCTATGTATGCCTATTGCTTATTTAGATTCTACCCCCAAGCACATTACATGAGATCCAATCATCATAAATCCTTTAAAACATAATAAAAGGATGTAGAAAAAAAAAATCATTTAGGTGACCATTGGAGGAATAGCAGAGTGAGAGATTGTGTATAGTAGTGATTTATTTCACCTCAGCACAGGATGGTGCCAACTAAAGGTAAAATTTAAAAAATGTACATGTAAATTCTTTAAAAAAAAAACTTCAGTAATAAGTTGAAGATAGCGTAAGGTTAAACATGTAAAATCTTTAAAATATGGTCAAATTTTTTTTTATACAAATCATATTTCTAGTTGAGATTCAGCAGATAGCACATGCATGAAAGATGACAGAAAGAATATATATATATATATATATATATATATATATATATATATATATATATATATATATATATATATATATATATATATATAGATATATATATATATATATATATATATAAAGAATACAAATCATATGGCGAATAACAACCCTTTCAAGCAACAACCCTTTCAAGCGTACTGGATCCACCAAGGGATCATGTGTGTCAGGGATTAATTAAAATAGATGCAATAAACTGACGACGAACAGTATGAAACTAGTAACTAACTAGCCTAAGCGCTTTTGACTCTTAATGAGTCTTTTTCAAAGGCAAATACAAAACATATATATGATAAACAAATAAACACAAAAAAGTTGTGTTTGTAAACCTCTACATGACTGTCTTCACATGTGCTAAAACTATAAATACAACCAGCTTGTATAGACTAGATGCGGAAACTGTAGCCTTAAGGTCATGTGTGACACAGTAAAGTGGGTGGTATTATAGAAAGGTAGACAGATGTAGCTTTTTGATGATACCAAATAATATGGATGTTCTAGTTGCTCTACAAAATACAGAGGGTAAAATGTCTCTTTTTGGACCAGAGTTTTTTCTAGCCGAAATTTGCATGAGGTCGTGATCCAGTTTTTTGTCTGGATTTTAGAATTTTTTCCTCAGATCTAAGACAGACCAGTCAGAATTGCACACAGACATGTGAACCTTTTCAAAAGGTAGGATAAGATGGGCATTTAGAATGAAGACTGGTCTTGACATGAAATCATGAGTCCGTTTAGCAAGAAAAAAAGGACTCCAATTTTTACCCTTCTGCTAATACTCAGGCGAAAGAGCCATTGAAAATCAATGTTTCAAACACAAATAGGCATTAAGTTAACTGAAACTGTTTTGGAAGACTATTTAATATAATGTATTCAGAAATATCTCCCAAAATTTCAGGCGAAAATGAAAAAAAAACCTTAAGGGGTTAATAAGTTAAACAGTGCATTTTGATGATGTCACCAATTTTGAATATTTCTTGCGTATTTGATCTCTTGTGCATTGATATTGCACATAAATTACAAATTTAGTCATTTTTTGACAATCTGTAAAGATTAAAAAAATTCTTGCTTAACTCATTAACCCCTATAGCCACTTTTACAGGGCAGGAGGTGGTAGCCTACTTCTGAGCTCTGTGGCATTAAGGTCATGTGTGACACAGTAAAGTGGGTGGTATTATAGAAAGGTAGATAGATGTAGCTTTATGATGATGCCAAATAATATTGATTGTCTAGTTGCACTACAAAATACAGAGGGAAAAACGTCACTTTTTGGACCCATGTTTTCTCCAGCCAAAATTCACCCAAGGTCATGATCTGGTTTTATGTCCGGATTTTAGACTTTTTGGCCTCAGATCTAAGACATACCAGTCTGAATTGCACACAGATATGTGAACCTTTGCAAAAAGTTGGATAAGATGGGTATTGAGAATGAAGAATGGTCTCTACACGAAAATGATGGGTCGATTAAGCCAAAAAAACAACAAAATAACAAAAAATCTCCAATTGTTACCCTTCTGCTCATGGTTAGGCGAAAGAGCCAATGAAAATCAACATTTCTAACACAAATAGGCATTAAGTTAACCGAAAATGGTTTGGAATTCGATGTATTATAACGTATTCAAAAATATCTCCCAAAATTGATTTCCTACTTGCATTTCAGGTGAAAACAACAAAAACATCCAGGGGTTAAAGGGTTAAATTAAGTATGGGCAGGTTCTCCTGAACTATATTTTGTTTTCAAAAGTTGTTGCAACATTAGAAAATACACTGTGATCACACTTCTGCATTTGAATGGACAGCATTTTCATTATTCTTTCCAATAAATATCATCATTTGTTTCCTTTTGCTTTTAGCTTTACTTGTCATATCTCATATCTGAAATAAAGCATATGGTGTCAGTCTGTTATCTTATATGGCCACCATGACTGCCATCTTGAAAATCTTGTTATTGCTACTCCTCCTGAATGAAAAATGATAATGACACAAGTTTTTATCAGAGGTTTAATATGATGTGTAGTTGGTTCCAAATGAAAATGGTGTTGATCTGACCTGTGGAAAATTGAAGTTTGGATTCTTTTCCTATAGCAATGGTTATATTGACATGGGATTTTCACCAAAAAGGCTTCTTGTGATGTCCAGTTGGACCTAATTGAAAATGATGTCTATTGTCTACTATCTAGCATGACCACTGTAGCCCCAATATTAAAATTATTTATTATTGCTTCTCTTCATCAATGGAATGTGTTACTTTTATGTATATTTTTTGTTTGAGGGTTTTGCCTACATGACTTTTGTCATGAGTCTAAGATGTGAAAAAGATGTATACTTCAATTTTAGTTCCAAGCCTGACCTTGTTTGCAAGTTAGTGGGTTTTTCCATTGGAAATTTGTTATCTTGCAGGTCAAGTAACAATAGATTTGGTAAACAGTGATTCATTACTATTGTATGATCAGTTTGTGGTATCACCTTTTTGTTGTGTTCTGATATAATTTAAGAGGAATGATTTATTTAAATTCTTTTGAATTATAAAGTGTTTATTTTCTTTTTGAACTTAAAATCTACTGTCTGATTATGAAGGACTCATTGAAAGATATTCTGGATTATTTGATTTTGATACATCAAGACATTCAAAACTATTGGAATTCTTTCAGAACATTCTATATTTCTGGACATGTGATATAAAGTGTATGATTATGTGGGATTTAATTCACAATGCTATATGATCCTCGTAACTTTTCATTTTGTAGCTTAGAGAAATAAATTATTGTTTGTAGAATTTTACTAAAATTTATGTTTCACAAATGTAATGCCAATGTGGCATTTACACCAGATTACTTCTTATAATATCTAGTTGATTCTAAATTAAGATATGGCCTTCACAGCAGTCAATTTTAAAATCATGTTATTACTGTTAATTTAGAAGTTATGGGTACATTCACATGGGGTCTTCGTCAAAAGAATTTGGATGATGTCTGGTTGTTCCTTATTAAATAATGGTACCTATCTTATGTCGAAGATAATTTTCATAGAGATGAATTTGAAAATCTTGTTATTGTTGAAAAATATCAGAGATGGTTTCAGCACTTGTTAAAAGAAAGAAGTCTTGTCTTGTATTCTTACCAGTTCTTTTCAGCCATTAAAGCATAAATCACTCAAGGGACGTTTGTTTGTAAAGCAACACCCAATAGTTGCAACAAACTTTTCATGAATTGTATTTTATGATTTGCTCATATTTCATTGGGTAGAGAATTTATTTAATATATTGTGTTGGTTTTGTTTCTAGAAAGGTATCCTTTAGGCATGTATGCCAGTTGATTGAAGAAGAATTGGTGTGCTATTGTTGTTCCTGGTTGAGGAAGAATTGGTGCGCTATTGTTGTTCCTGGTTAGAGCAATAACTGAACACAAGATTTATTGATGACAAAGAATGAGCAGCTCCATTGTTGATGGGTTAATAAGAAAACGCTGTCAGCTTTTTAAGAGCTTGAGTCATTCAAAGATGGAAACTAACAATAAAGATCGGTGACTAGCAGATGAATATTTGAAGTATATACTGTTAGCCTCTTCATTCATTTAAAGACCAACAAAGTGATTATATATTTTGGGGCAGGAATACAATAAATTGTTTAATTTGTTAGTACTAGTTGAGTCCTTCCAAGCGTAATTGAGAGAATTGAAGTAGTTGCAAATATTAGGTAGCCATGCCATGACTCTTATATTTGAGTTCATCTTTTAATGTTATAGTGGGGTTTCAAGGAAACTATTTCCATGTTAGTGCCTATGTATCCAAATTGAACTAGAATATAATTTCTTTTGAAACTTTAGTCAGATATATATCTTAAATAGAAAATGTGATGTGATTTGATTATGATTTTTAATGTAGCTTTAACAATTTTTCAGTCATATCACTATGATGTCTGCAGTGTGGCAGTTTATTGTGATGTCTAGCACTGGGGCATCATGCTGCAGACATATTGCATGATGTCCCACCCAGTCACATTATCCTGACACCAGGCCGACCAGTCCTAACACTAACCTCTTAATGCTGAACGCCCAAGCTAGGAAGCTGTTAGTACCATTTTTGTAAGTCTTAGGTATGACCCAACCAGGGATCGAACCCACAACCTCTCGCATCCTAGGCGGATGCTCTAACCACCGGAGCGGTCTGAATAGAAATTGCTTTATACTCTTATAGGTTAAATCATCACAATGGAAATGTTATTATATGAGTCTATCATGTGTCATTTGTGATGATTTTATTATTTATCTTGACTGATTGAATATCATTTGGACTGCTTTTTATGTAATGTTGTATTGCCTTAATATGATTAAGTACAGGGCAGTAGGCAAGATTTGTGGGCCCTAGGAAAAATTTTCCAGTTGACCACCAGAATTTAATTCTTGTTGTCCTACTTTGTCCTCTGCCCTGGTGAAGGACATAAGAGAAAAGGTTTTCTTTGAATTGAATAATTTTTTGTTGTAGGAATAGGAATCATTTTTATTGGCTATATATTGAAAAAAAGGCTAGTATTGGTAATGCTGCTCTTTGTCAAATGTTATTAAATTGTAGCTTGGAGAAAGAGTAGGGAAAGAGTGGTGTCATTTGCATTTAAGTTGCTACTGGTAGATGAAAATATAGTTGTCTGTTTTTAGAGGTAGAATTTTTTTGAAAATTAGAAAGAGGTGTGGACCCAGCATAGATTCCTGTAGTAGCCCACATGTAGTTGGTTCTTTTTAGAAAACCTGCCATTTATGTTGAGACATTGTTTTTAGTTTGTTAGGTTAGATGTAAATGAATCAGTAATGGAATTGTCACAAAAATAAATGTTCATTTACTGATAAAAATATCATGATCATCAGGGTCAAAAGCTTTAAGTATGGATCTAATTTCCATTTCTCAAGTGCAGTAATCTGTCAATCCATAGTATTAGAGAAAAACATAGAAAAGAACTAATAGCTTAATTGCTGAAGGTTGAGTCCAAATTAGATTAGAAATGCTCAGTATTTGAAGAGCTGATATCTTAAAAAATAAGCTAACAGTGATTGATTATTGTCATATTTTAAATACACATTTGCAAATAGAAACATTAAACATCTGTATTTATTTGCAGGAAAAGTTATAGATATTTTTTTCTTCAATAATACAACACATATCACTAGAAGAATCAAATTCTTTTTTACTTTCTCAGTAAACTTGACGGTGATTAAAAATCTGTTTTGAGAAATCAACACATAATTTATTTCTGAAAATCATAAAGTGAAAATGTAAAAGACACTTACAGTATTGTGAATTAAATTCCAGATACTGGTAATCTTAAATGTCCTATCACAAGATAATGGAATGATCCAATTGAATTCCAAAAGGCTTGAATATTTTGTTATACTGAGTCTTAAATGCCCTGATGTATTAAGAGTATCCCAATGATACAATCCAGCATGTCACTGAAAGAGTTCAGAATAATCCCACAGTGTTGTTCTAGTCAGAAAATTCAGAGAGCTCTTTGTAATTCCACTGAATAATTTAAATACTTCATGTCAGATTATATATAAACACATAACAGCTTAGATATTTACCTGCATCTGAACATAGCAGTCACAAGCATATTGTTGGTAATTGTTTATTATAATGAGGAAAGTAACTGCCTTAAAACTTTCTGAACCTTACAAACATTTCCTAAATGATCATGTTTAAGTTGTATTTGTTATGAAGGTATCACCACACAATTTTAGCCAATGAGCTGTTATTGCACCATGTTGTGGTGCCTGTGAAAATCCTTCATACTTTTTATTATTTGTTTTTTCTTGGAGTTTGCAAACCAGTGAAGAATGTTACTCACATTAAGGAGAGAGCAACAAACCAACCATGCATTTACATAGAATGAAATTGGACAGTTCCATTAATGTCACTTACTTTACAAATTCTAGTCATTTACTATAAATGTAACTATTTCCAGAAAATGCATCATAACCTATGCTGTTATTTTAATATGTTATGTCCTCATTGGTGTCTAACATAATGAAAATACAATAGTCTTGGTTTATCTGTACTTGTACTTGTTGAACTAGACTTCTCAAAATTGTAGACAACTTAAGGAAATATATTAGTAACTTAATTTGTATAGTGGTACCTATAGCCAAATTCATAGTTGTGACTCAATAAAGTAAGATGTTGATTTTTTGATATTCTTGCATTTAAATTTTAAATTGAATGATATGCATATATCCAATGTATCGTACAAAATATGTAGCTTGATGACATTATAGCAGTCTCAAAGAACTGAAGTTGAAAATCAGTCATTTGAGACCTCTTTACTAAGACCAACTTGTTAATAAGACCACTTATCTCAGGTTCTGTTTTTTGGTCATATTCGGAAGGTTTTACTGCATGTTCCTCTGAGTGTGAAATTTCTCTTTGAACAATTTGAAGTTGAATCCTTTCGATGCTAAAGTAAAACCTGGCTTGAAAGACCACTTCTATGAGAAATTGCATGTCTTGAGAGACCACCTTCTTGATGAATGGATTTATCTATTATATGTTGTTGTGACCTGCTATGAAATAAGCCATCTTGATAGACCATTATTTGGGGACCCCGAGTGGCTGAGAGGTCTAAAGCAATGACCGTTACGGATCACTACCATCTCACCTCTGTTCGTGAGTTCGAGTCTGGGGTAAACATGGGTAAGTGAGAAAACCTACCAGTAGCTTCTCGTGGGTCAGGTTTTCCCGGGGTTTTCCAGGGTTCTTCCTCCACCATTAATACTGGCCGCCATGTATAGCCTATCTTGTGCTGAAAAATGGCATTAAACCCTATAAAAACAATAACAACAACACCAGGGTCCTCTTTTGATAGTCTGAGAGATTGCCATGTAAAGACTCTTTTCTCTAAGATAAACCAAGGGGTCTAGTATAATCCAAATTTTTAAAAGAGCGGAGGGTTGACTTATTAAAAAGCAAAAATTTGGCACTCATTATAAGCCTGCTCATTTTATCACAACCAGCTACTGTTAGAGGGCAATCCTGTACTAAAAAGCCTATTATTACAACATCGTTTCTGTATTAAGACGGTCCCTCAATAAAAGACCTTTTAGTATAACATGGTTCTTGTTACAAGGCAGTCAGACCCTTTATTATAACATAGTTATATTTATTTTGGTACTGTGCAGTTTTTTTAATATTGGATAGAGTTAGATGTAAAAACCAAAAATACAAAATTTCCTGTTTTCTTCATTGGTTATATACTGATTGTTTAGAAAAGACCCTGTATATCTTAGGTTTTGTTGAAAGAATTTTGTAATTACCTTTATTTTGGTTTAATGATTAATAGGTATATTTTGGGTTATAGCTTGGCCTTACTTGAGATGTGCACCCATCAAATAACTGCCAGCACAGTTTGGTCATTTTCACTTCCTTGGCTCAAAGGTAAGTTGTAAAAAAGACCTGATAACTTTTTTTAATTTTATATATTTGGTAATTCATTCATTGCACTTTAATCAGCATATAATTTCTTATCCAGCAAAATTTGTTTCCCTATTTTAATAATTGCTAAAGATAGTGTACTTTAAATCTTAATTTAGGCTTGTTTAATGAGTGCAAGGGAGCAGTCCTTTTGGTTAGCTGTGTGCTTCTGATTCATGTATAATTTCCAGAACAATTTCAGCCACAGTACATGAAAGTAATAGAGATATGCCAACATCCTCTCCATTATTCATGTTGCAAATTAGAGCTGGGTCCCTTGAAAAATTGTGTATTTCTCAATGTACCATTGTATACACATCTGTAGCTTGAACCAATAATTCTATGTCTGAGGGCAGGAGCCTGACACTTTTTTGGTTAACTGACATTACTGAAAAAATATCTTGCTCTGATTTATAGCAAAATAACATGTTAAATACATGATGTTATTAGGAAAAAATATTAATTTTCTTGAGATAAAAGAAAATCACTCAGAAGAAAATCACAGCCCCATTACCCCATAATTAGATGACCAGTACCTTACAGTAGATGAATTTGTTATGTGTGTGTGTGTGTTAATTGTATAAATTGCATTTGAAAACCTGTAATTACATTGTGATAATTAAGCTTATACTATAGCTGATAATTTGTGAAAGACAGTGCTGACATTAGACAGCCTATTAATAAAATATGAAGTGTTGATAATGAAGCCTCCAATTTTCTAGATACAGTACTGATAAAATAGGCAGGGAAACTTTGAGTGGGATATCAACACCCAGGCAAATATTTATAAGAGTGGACCAGTAAAAACAGTATTGAACATGATTACTCAGCAAACAAAAACATGTTTAGGGATATGAAAAATGACATATAGTTCAGACAGAAAACAAGTACTGGTACTCTCTTGAAAATTGTACAATTATTAGTAGTCTTGTAAAGGAATGCAAATACTTACCACTTTCACATATGCTAATAAATAACTAATATACATTTTTCTTTTTATAAATCTGAAATATTTCTGAGTTGGAGTTTTTCCAAAACTTCTTTCACAGTTTTTTTGGCCACTATGTTAACATACATGACAGGTGTCAAAGATGTGATTAAAGGATGCATTATATTTGTTACCATTAATTTGTGACTGATAACAACTGTTGTGTAAGAAAAGGAAAGGAATTTTTTTAATATATGTACTTGTCATGAACAATGAAAAGGAGCTGTTAATATCATTAAAGTTTGTAACTGGTTTCCTCTGGAGTCCTTACTGATGAAAATTATTGACATGCCAGTATAGTGAAAAAGTACCATGGTACTTACCACTAGGAAAAAATTATGTGGTAAACTGGTATAATGGTAATATTATGTGCCTCTATTGCAATAGGAAACAACTTCACCTTGCACCATCACTCTCTTAGAAGTCATACTATCTATATGGCAAATTCTTTCTAAAAAAAAACCTTTATTATAATATGGTTTCTGAGGCAGTCACTTATTGAAAGATCCTTTATTACAACATGGTTCCTGTTATCAGGCAGTCCTTCACTACAAGGCTATGTTGCAACATCATTCCTGTTATAAGCCAGTCCCCCATTTTAAGGCCCTTTATTATAAATGGGTTCTTATCATAAGGCAATCCTCAACTAAGAGACTGTTATTATAAAAAATGGTTTTCATTATAAAGTAATGTCTCATCTAAAGGCCCTTTATTATAATGTG